CTAAAGCAACATGGTCTTCTGTACTGCCAGGTTTGACATCTTTCTCCAGTCTGTTGGTCACTTTTCTATTCTGTAGATCTTAGCTCTTTAAAGAAATCTGCATCTGTCTATGGTGAACTTGTAACTTTTAATCATTGAAATATTGTAGTAACTTGTGTGATTATTTGTGTAAAAAGCAGCAAAGATGATTTATTTGTGAACATATTTTACTGTTCTACTTTCTAGATATTTCGTAAAGGTTTGACCAAAATGTTTGAGGATCGTGATGAAGATGCCATGTTTTTGGAGACGTCAATGAACCTGAGGCGGCACCCACACGTGCACATTGACTGCATTCCTCTGCCGAAAGAGACAGGTGATCTGGCGCCAATCTACTTCAAGGTTAGCAAGTGATTGTGAAATGTACTGTGATGAGCTTAGTGTTGGGTTAGTTCACTTTGGATGTGGTGTGTCTTGTCTTGAGTGGCCTCTGGTGACATATGAACTGAGCACAGACACCAGTGGATTTGACTGATGTCAGAACTCTCTATACTTGCCCTGGAATTTTTGTCTTTTGAGTTACTTGACCGGCTTGTGAGCATATTGTATGGGCTAATTGTCACACATTTCAAAGTCTGTTTTACCTTCAAACCAAAGAACACAGCTATTTATTTTTGTAGCATAGCAGGTCAAAAATGACTGTAACAGATGCTTTGCTAAAGTTTATGTCAGACTGTCAGATGCAGTTGAGGCCCTCCTTGTGTAAGTATTATTTTGGTTGGTTTATTTTCACATTTTTTTTATCCATTTCAGAAAGCCATCCAAGAAGTAGGACCAGAATGGGCTCAAAACAAAAAACTTGTGGACCTCAGTCAGAAGGATATAAGACATGCGGTAAGTTCCTATAGAGAGGCAGTTAGTGAGCAGCTGGTTTTGGGGGATCATTTGTAGACTTTAATCACAAAATTGCAACAAAATATGTATCAAAACAGTTCAGGAAAGCATCTGAATTTTTCACATTTATTCACAAATTACTAGTCAATAAGTTTGCTGTTAAAAAGTATTATATATGTATTTTATTTACTTCTGAGTAACTACATAGTAGTAGGGCACATTAACAATAACATAGCCTAATGCTTGCTTCAGATACAACCTAAATAAAACACTAGAATTTTTCTATTTGGTGTGATGTGTATGTTTTTGGTTTTCAAACTCGGTCTTCATCTTCCAGGTTCCAAAGGGGTTCCCATATTTCAGTGTTGATTTTGGCCTGCAGGGTGGCTTCGCTCACGTTATTGAAGATGAACAAACATTTCCATCTTACTTTGGCCAGGTAAAAGTCTATTTCAGATTTAACTTTGGTTGTCTCATCAATTTCGTATTAGAATTTTAAATATAACATACAAACCTTCATTCAACAGTGCAGGTACTTTTTATTTTGATATAGCTGAACAACACTTATAGTTCAAACTTATTTTACTCTATATAATGAACAATTTTGATATAATTTTAACTAAGAGCATTCAGTTTGTCTTCAAAGCTTACGAACACAAGTTATATTCCAGGAAATCATTGGGGGCATGATGGACTTAGAGCCCAGAATGTGGCGCAAACCTTTCAAAGAAAACTTTGAGGATCAGCGCAAGAAAGTTTTGGAGTTCGCAAACTGGTGGAAGCCATATGATTGGACACAAAGATTGAAGAAAAATGACGATGATGATGATGATGATTGACAAAATGAGAAAAGATTTATTGCATTGCCATTTGATTTTACTTAAATGTTATTTGCAATTCTATAAAATTTTCTATTTTTGATGACATTACTTGTAGTAAAATTACTCAACTGGTTTGTTGTAGATCAAAGTCTCCACCTTTTTACACACCAATAGGTGGAATGGATTATTAAAGGAATAGAGCAGTTTTGCTTCCTCCTGTATTTTTTTGAATAATACATATTTGGTCTGTAACATCTAAACAGCAGACACTTTCTGACTGCATTAAGAATGTTTACATACCACCGGATTCATTGCATTTCTAATTGTAAAGTTGTCATGAAAAGCAAGTTTTGTTAGTTACTTAAAATGATCAAAAAGAGAACTTTAATTTTGTATTAAAAATATGGTCAAAAGACATCTGGTTTTATATACAAACAAATACATACATTCCGTGACCAGAATATTGATGAAATGTAACATCAAACAAAAAAAAAAACTGAGAAAAAATGTTTGAAAGTGATTTTTTTCTTACCAAATCTTGCATCTAGACAAGAATGTCACATAGCCAGATTTTCAACAATTTCATTTTTAGATGTTCATTTATTGACACTGAGTACAAGATGAGATTTAATGACATGTAAATGACTGACAAATGGTATTTGAATTTTATAGTACCATAACTGAATTACAGTGAGTTCCCCTTAAACGCAATACTGTGTCAAGTACATATATGTCACAATCTCACACTGAAAGTGATATTTTTTTAACACAATGTCAATGAAAGCTGGTATTCTCAACCGGATTTCTACATAGCAGAAATATAGCAGCATTGTACAAATTAATATGTATAACACTTCATGATCTGTATAATGAAACTTCTTGCTGGAGCAGAATATACTTTAAGCACTGTTTAACTGACTTGATACAAAATAATTGAGTGTATTTCACCTGGACTTGTCTTATACACATTCTCATTTATTTCATGCTTACTAAAATGTATGTCCTTCACCCATCTTGTCAAGTCCATCATTTCATCTTTAATGACCTTCACCTGGCAATGTCAACGACCTTGGACTCAGAATGACCTTCACTTCATGACCTTCAGGTGACCTTGGACTTGGAAGGCATGTCTTGGCATAGCAGCCAGCCCCATGGGGTTTCTAATGCCTTGTGTGTGAAATTTCCACAACCAGTGGCACTGTATGACCTTCAGGTGACATCTTTTTTCTTCCCATACTGTATAATGACAGGCTTGCCCTTCAGATTGTAACCATTCACTACAGACAAGGCATGGCCAGCAGTTTCAGCACCTAGAAACAGCAATACTTTCATCTTTAAATACTTGCTCACAGCAAAAATCTAATCATCTGTAGTGTGTGTGTGTGTGAGTGAGAGAGAGAGAGAGAGAGAGAGAGACTGACTTACTGTCAAATGTAACAAATGCCTGTCCTTTCATCTTCCTGTGTTTAAAGAGTCTGAAGATAATTCTAGGTCCAGCAGGATTCTGGAAGCGAACAAACAGTGCCACTAGGTCCTTCTCCTCCACAGACGGGGGCAAGTTCTTCAAATACAGAGTCTGAAATCAGAGGACCAACATTAAAACTCTATTCAACTCAAAATGACAGTGCCTTTCCTCTTAGTCTAAGACACATCCTTTTCACCTACGCTACTGTATTCTGTTTGTGACATTTAATAATCAACCTTAATTTTAATAAACTAATTAACTTTCTATACATTAAATGTGGTGTGGGTAATGAGGGTTACCTGTGAGGGTTCACCTGGCTCGTAGTTGTTAAATCGAGGCAGAGCTCTTATTTCTTCCAGTGTTAAGCAGTTCTGTTTGATATGTTCTTCTGACAATGGTTCTACATATACATCAAGTGTACGTGATGAGGTAAGGGACTGCTGGGTCTCTTGTCCTTCATCTTTAACATCAGATGAACCTTGACCTTGATCTGTCACTTTCTGACCTTGACCTTTGACCTTGTTATTGTCGCAGCTCTCCTCTGCTGCATCACAGGTAATAACAATATTGTCAGACACTCCACGATCCAATTTACTGGAATGTAATTCTTGTTTTTTCATCTCCTCCTTTGTCAGGGGCCCACAGAATTCAAAGTCTGTCTCAGCTTCTTTTGTATTTACGTCTGATCCTTGCCCTAGTAAACCCTCATCAACTCTAGAATACCCTCCTTCCATCCTGGGTTTGACCTGACTGACCTCTTTAATGAGAGAGTGTAGGTTGTTCATGGGATGGTCAGCGGGGTAATCTGTCTTGGTCCAGTTCTTAGTAGTGACCAGGACCTGGGTCAGCTTGGCCTTGTTACTGTCCTGGGAGATGGCCTTCTCCAGGTCCATAGCCTGACGGGACAGCTGGGCAGTGCCTGGAATTGTGGGATTCATATTTAATACTCGGTGAAAGATTTGCATTTATTTTACGGCCATAATGCACCTGACACTGGTATCTCACGTAAACACTTATTAACACTGCCTATATATATATATATATATGATAATATATGCAAAATGTACCTTAGTAGGAGTGTATGTATAAAAGACAAGTGTAAGTTTTTTCAAATCAAGTCCACCACTTCAGTACATAAACCTTTTTTTTCTTATTATAAGACAAATATTAGGACCGATGTTGAATGCAATCCAAATAAGGGTAGAGCTAAAAGCACAAGCCAGTTTTATTATTTAGATTAAATTAGATGGCATCTTACTCACCCCCAAATGTGTCTGGTTTTGAAAGCTCAACCTCTTTCTGGGCAATTTTCTTCTCTATTTCTTGCAGTTTTTTCTCTCTGACTTCTGAGGCCATCCTCAGTTTACTAGAGCCAGTCTACAAATGACAACAATGAAGATAACTTGACACAATAAAACCTGGAAGTGAATTTTTTCTTCTACAAGAATCTGTAGATTAAGTCTCTTGTCCATGGGTTCTCTTTTCTCCTTCTTTGTAGTTTATTTTTTCTTTCGATATAGTTTTCAGTTCCTTGTAGTAAAAGTATGTATTAGTACTAGGATGCTGAACATCATCTTTCTTCCCCTATGTAAATAAATTACAGAACAAAACCCAATCTGTGGCCTTTCACAATTCTTCAGTTTGATCAGTCGCAAATCATTTTGCAGCTTCCTTTTTGTCTCATCCATAAATTTATTATACCAGCTGAATATCACCATGGAACCTTCACATACTTTTCATAATATTCTACTTAAAAATATTTCATTTTATAAAGTTATAATTACCTGTTAAGTTCAATCTAGTTAAATATCAGCATCTTCACATACTAGAAATTATATTTTATATTTAAAATATTTCATTTCTAAGTGATAACTACCTGTAAGGCCCCTGTATCAGCCTGTATCTTCAGCAGCACCTCTTCCTCACTCAGTCCATACTGTCTCAGTGTCTGGGCCCTGGTCTCCCTCTCTGTGACGACCCTGTACTGGTCAAGGCTTAACTGACCGCTGGTCACTCCAGACTCTGGTCGGAATACAGTCGCCTCTGAGAAAACCTTCTTCTGGCGCATCTGACTGAGAAAAGTCAATGAACTCAACATCTTTGTGTAAATTGTACTTTATGACTCACAAAAATCTTGTCAACAAGTTTATTACAGTCTTCAATTTTGAACAGCATGTTCTACAGTTTAGACCCTAGACTTTCTCCAATTCTTTTTAAACAGACTCCAAAGTAGACCAAAGTGAAGAATGACAACGTGGACCTTTTCCTGACTAAAAAGTGTGGTTAGCCCTTACCCCTCCCCCAACCACATCGCATGAATTTTTGTGCTACATCCCTATAACCCTTGTGCTACACTATAAAAGTCGCTCTAGACCAAAACTTCTAAAGTTTATCACCATACCAAGTTAGCCGTTTACAAACCAAACACAGGGTTCTGCCGAGGCCGCGATTCTGCGAGATTCTCGCCAAAAAAATAAAATTCTCGCACAAAAATTACCAAACATGCGAAAATTCTCGCATACAAACCGAGTGAGGGTGCTTTCATTGTTCTTGAGATGATAAAAGACACATTAAGAGTGGCGTCTAAAATTGTTTATCTAAATAATCATCACCGGTATAAATTTCTTCGCATCGTCCGCTGCATTGACTTGTTAACACAGTGTAGCTAACGTCGTCATATTGCGACGATGTTTCCGATGTACCCTCGTAAGAGATCGTTTCAAGCAGCGTCGTCATTTGTTGTCGTAATATCAATAGTACCTCTTCATGACTACAGTCCAATCGGCAATCCTCGTGTGACTCCGCTGCACTAAAGTTAGTTGAGCGATTGAGCGGTTCTCTCATTTCGCGGGATAGTCTACCAATGATAGACGGCGTGACAGTGATATTCAGCCTGATGAAGCGTGGTTAAAATGGCGGCTTCCTCGCCGAAAGCGAAAGTTAAAAAACAGACATCGATTTTAAGCTTTATGCCAAAGTCTACGGCAAGCGGTGAAAAAACGGTCAGACTCCTGTTAATCCCCCCTCAGATGAATCCGTCTCTCCGCCTGACAAGTCTGAGAAAAGGAAGACACAAATTTCTGAAGTTGCGACTCCAGATGAAACTGACAGTTCGTCGACGATAAAGGTACTAGTATGTTCATTCCGTGGCATTTTTATTTTACGTTTTGGAAGGACACTTGACACTTCGTTTGAAAATGTGAAAGAAAGTAAAAAAAAGGTAATAGGCCCGTTTTTGATACGATTATTCCTCTATATGTGAGTATGAAAAAAAAACAAACAAAAAAAAAAACGTTAAAAAATGACGGGTCCCGTTTCTGATATGTTTATTCCTCCTACGTGAGTATGATAATATGAAAAAGAAGTTGAAAAAGTTAGGAGGCCCGTTTTTGATATGTTTATTCCTATCACTCTATAGTGTATATATAT